CTCTAAAAAAGCGGTAACCGACCAAACTTTCTACCAACAAGAGCTATATTATTCGACAAGGATCAGCTCACGATTATTCACAGAGAAAAACAAACGAACCTCTTGAAGTCAACGTTTAAAAACCCAGTAACCCTACACCTTTCCCTCTACAAATCATAGCACACGATCACTGAACTTCATAAAACACGCCTTATCAAAGTATGAGACAAAAAAATTATAAAACCCTGTTTTCTCGCTGTTAAATTTAAAAACCTTCTCACTACCAATTAACTCACAGCTGAACAGGGCCCACATAACAGAAAAGTTACCACAAAAGATATCTGTTACAAAAACTTTTAAGTTACCCTGTAATTCATAAAACTAATGAGCAACGAGGATAAAAAAACTAAGCACATGCAAGAAGCATAACAGTTTCTCTTAAAAACCAGAATTCTGCCGAGTTTTTTCAATGAACTTACTTCCTCATCTTCCTCCCCAGTTTTTGCTTCCACTAAAGCAGGAAGTGGTACAACAGGCTCAAAATGAGCAGTTGGTACAAATTCTTCAATATCATCCTCTTGCTTAGCCGAAGGAGGATCTTTATGGGGTGAAGCAGCCTTAGTGGCCGGGGAAAAAACCTGGAACAACAGTTAGGAATCATCTCAAGCAAAAAAAACGAGAAGCTTAAATGACCTTGAAACCAACCCCTTTCATAGCTAATTCACTGGATGCGGACTGAAAATTAATTGTCTTCTGGTCAGCAGAAGCCAAGTCTTTCTTTTCATGTGAGACATTTGTGACTGAAAATATTAGCTCAACCATACCCATGTAGCTTAAAAAAGTATTTCAAATCATACAAGTAAATTTCTTTTCTACCTTCAAAAATCAATATAAGTCCAAAAATTTACCGGGTCCCAACGGCTTAAAAGAAATTGGAGTGTTGGCTTGTGACGACTCTTGTAAAGGCTGTTTGAAAGTCGGAACAGAAGTGAAGTTGGGTTTCGAGACGAGCGGAGTAGCAGTAACTAAGGATGGTATGACAGGTTTCACACTATAATTGGACTGATTTGTAATACGTGTAATTTAGAACATAAAGCTTCATAAATGTAAAACATAAATAAAGGCATGTAAATCGACAAATACAACTATAATGAATTACTTTGCTAAAACGGATGAAGACGTTGCAACAGGAGGAGGAAATGAAGTAGCATCTGTTGCCACTCCCCCAAGTTGCAAGCCGCGAACGGTACCTATAGCCGGTGTCCCCTGAATGTAGAAAAATTAAGTTAGAGATAACTTAACAAATGAATAACACAACAAAATAAAATGAAATTTTCAATTTACACAAACAAATTTACTGAACCCCAAATTGACCCCAAAGCGAATGAAAACAGAAAACAAATTTTATAAAAAAAACATGTTAGAGCAAAAAACCAGACCCTTTCAAATTAAAGTGAACAAAATGAATTGAATCAGAAACCTATTATTCAAGAAAAATGAAAAAGATGTTCCTCATCTCACGACAGCTATGATACGCTCACTCAACTCTCCCAGTTAAAGAAACAACAGTAAGAGAAGTAAGAGACAAGAGGAAAAAATATTTCAAGACGAATTTTAAGCAAACATCCTGCCTAGCTCCCTTCCAAAATAACAACCATACATAAACCTACTGAGCTCGATTTGACATACGCACTATAAAGTCTCGCTGCCATTGTATTTAGACTCTATCTCATAGATACTGACTAGATATTAGATAGAAAAACCGTGTAACAGATAAAAGCTGCTAGATAAAAAATGTTATCCTCTTTACTACTGACTAATCCAATACTCAGTTAATCAACCACATTAAGGTGGGGGACCTACAGGCAATGGTTGAGACTGCTGCATAAACTGATGCATCTGTGCAGCTGCTTGCTGCTGCGCTTGTGCATGAACCAGCTGCTGCTGTATAAAGTGATACTGAGAGGACTGTAACAACTGCTGCAGATTCGAAACTTGTTGCGGCGTTACTGCCTGAGTATTTGGGAATCCAGATGCTGGCTGCAGCGGATTACCCGTTGCGTGTTGAACAATGTTCTGACTCGGAAAGAACGATGATGGAGCTGACGGGACATTAAAGCCTTAAGAAAGCAAAATTATCATCCCTGTGTCAAATAAACTGCAT